CATTGCTAAGAAAAGATGAGTCTATCAAAGTTAGTCATTGAACATTGTGGCTGTTACTGTGTACAATGTTCTCCTGGTTCTGCTCACCTCATTCAGCATCAGTTCATTCTAGTCTTTCCAGGTTTTTCTGAAGTCTGCCTGCTTGTCATTTCTTACAGCACAATAGTATTCCATTACATTCATATACAACAACTTGTTCAGCCATTTCCCAACTGATGGGCATCCCCTAAATTTCCAGTTCTTCGCTATAAATATTTTTGTACATGTGGGTCCTTTTCCCATTTTTATGATCTCTTTAGGATACAAACTTAGAAGTGGTATTGCTGGGTCAAAGGGTATGCACCCTTTGTTTTATAGCCCTTTGGGCATAGTTCCAAATTGCTCTCCAGAATGGTTGAATCAGGGGCAGGTAGGTGGCGAAGTGGATAGAGCTCCACCTTTGGAGTCAGGAGGACCTGAGTTCAAATATGGCCTCAGACACTTGACACTTACTAGCTATGTGACCCTGGGCAAGTCACTTAACCCCAATTGCCCCCACACACACACACACAAAACACCTGAATTTACAGAATGGTTGGATCAATTCCTAAAGGTTTTTAAATAGGGGAAATGGCATGATCTAGTTTCTGTACTCTTGCATGATGTAGAGTACTGTGTTGTACCTCTTACTTGTTTTAGCTGCTCTTTATATCCTTTCTAAGCAATTCCAGCCCCATATAGTATATCCCTTTATTACAGAAGTCATATCACAGCCTTCTTCTGTCTTCTACCAAAATAGTTACTATAATAACAACTCCACTTAATTATCCCTACATACATAAAACCATGTTTATCCTCTCATTTTGCTGAACTTTCGTTTCAGCCTTTCAGTGTCTCTTCCCTCATTTGTATGTGATTAGTCAATCAATCATATATTTATTAAACCCACAGTGTTAGGCACTAGAAATACAAAGACAGAAAATGAAGCAGTCTTTGCTCTGAGGAAACTATTGATGCTGTTGATGGAGACAATTTACATATACGTAAGTACATACAGAATAAATACAAGATATTACTGGCAGGTGGAGTGGTCAGGAAAGACCACAAAAGAAGTGGTCCTTGAGCTGCCTCTTGAAGAAAGTCAGGGATTCAATGAGGCAGAACAGTAAGGAGGGGATGCATATATTCTCCTAAAGGATGGCATTACAAGCAAGGCATTAAGATAAAAGATGAATGCCATGAGTGATGAATAGAGAGTAGGCCAAGTCGTCTAGACCAGAGGGAGTCTGGAAAGGGAGGTAGGAGCCAGGTTGTAAAGGGCATTAAAAGTTTTTTATTTTATCTAGGGGATATAGGCAACCATTAGAGTTTGAGAAGAGGAGTGAAATGGTCAGATTTGCACTTAAGGAAATTCACTTTGACAGTTGTGTGGAGGATGGATTGGAGTGGAGGAAACTTGAGTTAGGAAGGCCAGTCAGGCAGCCAGTAATAGTCATAGGTGAGAGGTGGTGGTGGGCCAAGATAGCAGTAACACTGGTGAAGACAAGCACCATTTCCATCAGGATCACCATTATGATCTCTAAAGCACCTCCAATTGTTTTCCTTTTCTGAGGGAATAAGGATATTGGTAGGAATAATAAGAAGCTATTAAGGGGCAGCTAAGTGGTGCCGTGGATAAAGCACCGGCCCTGGAGTCAAGAGGACCTGAGTTCAATTATGAGCTGTGTGACTCTGGGCAAGACGCCTCGCCAAAAAAAAAAAAAGCTATGTGAAAATAAAATTATAGCATCCTGTATTGAGAGCTGAGGCGTCTAGGTGGCCCAGTGAATAGAGAGCTGGGCCGGGAGTCAGGAAGACCTGAATTCAAATCTGGCCTGAGACACTTATTAACTGTGGGACCCTGGACAAGTCATTTAACCTCTGTTTGCCTTAATCCACTGGAAAAGGAAATGCCAAACCACTCCATAATCTTTGCTAAGAAAACCCCATGAATAGTATTGGTTTGCTATGGTCCACAGGATCACAAAGAGTTGGACACTACTGAACAGCAGTGACGGTATTTAGAACTAGAACAGACCTCATGGTTATCTATTCCAGTTCCCTTCTTTTACAGATGAGGAAATGGAAGGGCCCCCCCAAAAAATAAGTGGACTTGCCCAAGGTCAGATAGGTACTAAGTCGCTGAGCTAGTATTCAGACTCAGGTCTCTAACTCCAAATTGCACCATACTATCTGATTCATCATTCACAGTGATAATAACATGCCTTAAGCCCCACCATTACTAGATACTGTATGTCATTTGAAAATGTTTACTTTACTTTATCTACCTTTTCAGAAATGCCCCAACCATCACCTGTCTTTTTTGTTGCAACTCTTTTTAGGTCTTTGGAGCTAACTGAGAGACTGAAAGCTGGGGTTTGGGGAAGTAGGGGGAGAGTCTTTATATTAGCCCAGAGTACTGCTTAAGTATGCTGTTTGCCAGCTAATTTGATATGTAGCCAGATGAAATTCATTGTTAGGAGAAAAGGAAGCAGGGGCTTTTGAACTAAAACTTGTTTTTCTCCAAAGATTTTCTTTGGCAGATTACCATATTGGGAGCTTTTCATGGCCCTGAAATACTGTTTAGTTGAATTTGTCCTAGATCCATGGTTTAAACACTTTTTCGTTCTGTAAGAATAAAGGCTTTCATGTAACCCTATTGCTCATTACTCTACTTTTCCTCCAATTAGTACTTCACCAAAAAAACCCCAAAAAAACAAGTGTTCCTTGTCTTTGTCGTAGAGGTTTTCTCACTACAAAGCAACTGGTTTTTGTTTTCCGTCGGCTATCTAAGGAAGCTAAGTCTAGAGATACCATTAGAGTCTTAGTTTCAGCTTCTTTAAGAAGACTTGATTTCCTTATTATTCTACTGATTTAAACACTTAGATGTAAAGCTCAAATAGAATTTTCTTTTGGATTTAATCATATTAAAAATGTTACATTTTCAAGCCCAAAGGTTGTAATTTTTTAAAAATCACCATGGCATAATGGATAGAATGCTTGAGTTCTAAGGCTACCTCTGATACAACAGTGTAAAACATGCTAATGTGTCCCTTATTTTTAAGAAACCTTCACTAGATTCAACTATCCCCTGAAGCAATTGTTCTTCCTCCTCAACCAAAAAGTGTCTTTTGCTAGCTACCTGTACTTCTGCGTCTACTTTTCTGCATTTTTGAGTTTGGCTTCTAACCTCATCATTCAACTGAAATTTTTCTTTTCAAAGTTACCATTGATCTTTTAATCACCAAGTATGATGTTCTTTTCTTATTCCTTTTACTTTTCACCTATCTACACCATTTGACACTGTTGACTACCCTCTCTTAGACAGTCTTTCTCTTCTCTGGGTTTTCGTGATACAACTCTCTCCTACTTCTACCTGTTTGACCACTCTTTCAGTCTCCTTTGCTTGCTCCTTTTCTGCCACCACAACATCTCTCATTTCCAGTCCCTTCTGTCTCACACAGCTACTACCTTGTCTAAAAGACCCTTATCACTTCTCACCTAGATTATTATAGCAGCCTCCTAGGTCTCCCTGCCTTAAGTTTCCCACCACTCCAGACAATCCTATGTGATGCTGCCCAAGTAATTTTCCTTAAGCATAACTCTGACTATATGACTCTCCTACTCTATGAAGTCCAATGGCTTTCTGTTGCATGTAGGATAAAAATCTAACCTCCTCTTTAGTTTTTATAGCTCTGTACAACTGGCCCCAGTCTTTCTAGCCTCGTTGGATATTAATCTCCAGTCTTCATTCTACAGTCCAGCCAAACTGACCTTCTCTCTGTTCCTTACACTTCTCCTTCCTTCTCTGTGCTTTTGTGAAGGCCATCCATTCATTCTTAGACTGTAGCCCCTCCTTAATTCTATCTCAGAGTTCCACTCTTCTTTTATGATGCACCTCAAGCACTGTCTTCTATGTGAAACCTTCCTAATACTCCCAACCTTCCCTCTCAGTCTGCCTTATATTTAACTACTTTGTATTTATTAATTTTATATTCATGTTGTATGTGTGTGTTTTTTGTCTCCCCCGTTAGAATGCATGCTCATTGCAAGTAAAGATTTCTTTGCACTTGTATCCCCAGTGCCTAGCAGGGTGCCTGACATATAGCAAGCGCTTAATAAATACATGTTAATTGATTGCTTGGAATGTACAGACAGCAACCCCTTAGGATTTATCTAAATAATCTGTCCCCCTTACCTACATTCCTCTGCTTCCTTAACTTTGCATCTTGGAACCCCCAGCTCCTTTTAAACACTCAGTTCAAGTCCCAACTCCTTTACAAAGATTTTCCTGATTCCCATAATTGTTGCTGACTCTGACCACCCCGTTGGGGATGGATAGATTAAGCATTTATTAAGTGCCATAATATATTTTAAGCCATGTATCCCATGTTTACTTATTTGTGAACATGTTGTGTTCCCTTAGTACAGGGGAGTTCTTAACCTGTTTTGCATCTGTGTACTCCTTTGGCATTCTGATGACACCTATGGACCCCTTCTCAGAATAATGTTATTTGCTCACAATCATAGTTGAATCAAAAGCTATATTTCATTGATAGGTTATTGAAAATAAAGGTGTAATTTTTTTTTCCATCCATGATCATAGTCCCCCTGAAATCTATCCATGGCCCACTCCCATCCCTGGATTGAAAACCTCTGCCTAGTAGAATATAGAATGTAAGGTCCCTGAGGTCAAGGACTATCTCACTATTGTATTTGTATGCATAGTGCTGCTGACAAAGAAGCCATCATCTTGTATTCCTTGTCCTAATTCCTTTCTTCAATCAGTAAGAGAACTAGAATTCTGTCCTTTGCAAAGCATGATTTTCTATTTTGATATTCATCTAGCCACCTACAGTCACTGTCTTCTTTTATACATCTTTTCTCTTTCATTATTACTATCCAGCCAAATGGTATTAAACCTACCTTTGTTAGAGACTTTTCCATTGGGGAAATGGAAAAGTAAAGTGGTAAACGTTTATCTAACTTCACATCAGGATATTTTTTTATGCACACACATATACATTTTGTGTGTGTGTGTGTGTACTCTTTCACTTGTTTTTGGCTCAATAATCTAAGAAGACTAACAGGATTCTATTTTTGTTACCTAGGAGTTATATGTTTTTAAAATTTATAACCAGATTTGTAGCATCTAAGATATGACTGACTGATTCAGTATGTTCATTTCTGTTCTAAAGATTCGGAAACCCCGACCTCAGCGGGAGAGGGCCCAGTGGGATATTGGCATTGCCCATGCAGAAAAAGCATTGAAGATGACCCGAGAAGAAAGAATAGAACAATATACTTTTATCTATGTTGACAAACAGCCTGAGGAAGTTTTATCCCAAGCAAAAAAGAGTGCTGCCTCCAAAGCAGAAGTGAAAAAGAACCGGAGACCTAAAGCAGTGCTGAACACTCAGCCAGAACAGAGCAATGCAGGGGAGGCAGCCTCCTCACTGTCAAGTACTGAGATCCGCAGACACAGCCAGAGACGGCATACAAGTGTGGAAGAGGAAGAGCCACCCCCTGTTAAAATAGCATGGAAGACAGCAGCAGCGAGGAAATCTTTACCGGCTTCCATTACGATGCACAAAGGCAGCCTGGATCTGCAGAAGTGCAACATGTCTCCAGTTGTGAAAATTGAACAAGTATTTGCTCTTCAGAATGCTGCGGGAGATGGGAAATTCATTGATCAGTTCGTTTATTCAACAAAGGTACCCTCCAAAGTCTATAGCTTTTGTTTTTGTTTGTGGGGGTTTTTTTTGTAGTTGTTGGTTTGTTTGATTTTGGGGTTGGAGTTTTGTTTTTTTGTTTTGTTTTTTTGTTTATAGACATTTGAAATACAGTTTAGTCTTTTTGGGTCTAAGGAAATTTAGACAAAAGGCTAAAATTTCCTTGGAGGAGGGATTGGTTTTGTTTTGTTTTTTTTCTTTTTCAGGATCCCCATATGCAATAAATTAATGTTGAGATTTGTGGCCAAGATAGAGCTTAGTTCTCTGCAGTCATGGAAAAAGCTGGGTCCTTTGCCTGTTTTGCAACCTATGTGGTTGTCATAATAGTTGCATAGGATTACTTCTGTGAAATCATGTATTACTGATTGGATAAGAATGAAAAATTTCTTTTAAAGCCAAATGAATACCAACATTAGGTCTTTGATTTTGATCAGCTGTTCACAAAATGTTTAGTAGTCAGTCATTTTGGCCAGAGATGGGCAGGAAATATTTACTTACTGCAGTTTACAAGTAAATGCATGTCTAAGAAGTTCTTGGACTGTGTTTATTCTAGAACTGTTAACTCTATAGTTGCTAAAGTGTAAATCATGCAGGAGAGGGAGCCTTTACCCAAGCCACATCCTCATGTGGCTTCACTATTTAGCTAGTCTTACTTGTTTGGTAGTTGCCATTCTATAGCCTTGAAACAATTCATTTCTTAGAACTTATGGCCCAACCCTAAATCTGAATTGGCAGATAGATTTGGCAATAATGCATGGATATGTGTTTTAAATTGTTTTGTTATTTTACAGGAATACCTGAATATAATTGTACATCTATACAGTAGATCCATTCCTTAAAACTTTTATATAAATTAAATCCTAACTTAAATATATCACTTAAAAGAAATTTGGAATAAAGTATTTAAAAAAAGAATACTTTCAGTAAAATGATCACCCCTTAATTTATGTTTCATTGAGGATTTTGAATGTCAGGTTTTCTTAAAATAAGACTTGCCTGCACAAATATGCCCTCTGTCTACAGCTTGCAGGTACTCATCAACTCTGTCTATTGGTAGCTATGAGAATTTTGGGGGGACACCCATAAAAGGGCTTTTTTGCTCTGAGTAAGACTTTTGTGCTTCCCATGCAAATAACCTACTAGATGAAAATAACAGACTCTTTTCATTTTAATGTATGGGGAGAGCATCTATATTCAAAGATATTTTATTTGACTTCTGTTAGGAAACTAGGGACTTTTGATTCAATTTTGATTTTATTCATCACATTCATCAAATAACTGATGTTTTTCTTCTCTCTCTGCCTTAGCCATGAAATAAAAATATAGTTACTACCTCTTGCTGACTTTGTATTAAGAGAATTAGAGTTAATAAGATACCTAGAATGAGGGATGGCATAGTATTATAAAATGATGGTGATTATTATTCTAAAACATATTTGTAATTGATTCCATTTGTCTGGTAATCATCCAGTTTTTAATCTGGCTTATTTTAAAGGGAGTTGGTAACAAAACCGAAATAAGTGTCAGGGGACAAGACAAACTTATCATTTCTACACCAAACCAGAGAAATGAAAAAGCAACTCAGAATGTATCATCTCCTGAAACAACATCTGGGTCGACAGGTAGGTATAAATGAATGGAGAGTATACTGAGATTGTTAGTATTCACTTCCCTGAGCCAGCTCCTGAGTCTGGGTTGACTCAAGCCTACAACTTCAATCCTCTGTGAAATGATATAAACACAAAATTTTGTCATCCCATCTCTTTCTAGTACCTCACAGCCAAAATTTACATAACACCTTGAGATTTACAAAGTGCTTTACATCAAAGACATAGAGTGTTATGTAGGATCAGATGATGAGATTGTATATGTAAAATACTTTATAAACCTTAAAGCACTTTTTAGATGCTGGCTGTCATATACTATCTCATGATCCTCGTGACTGCTTTGGTGTGAGGTAGATACTTTAGTTATTATTCCCATTTCAGAGGATAAATAAATTGAAACTCGGAGGTTAAGTGACTTTTCCCATGGTCATAAAAATTAGTCTCGGGGGCAAGTAGGTGGCGCAGTGGATAGAGTACAGGCCCTGGAGTCAGGAGAACCTGAGTCAAATCTGGCCTCAGACAGGTAACACTCAACTAGCTGTGTGACTCTGGGCAAGTCACTTAACCCCAACTGCCTCACAATAAGAAAATTTAAAAAAAAAATTAGTCTCTGCAGGAGATGAGATTCAGACCCAGTCTCCCTTAACTCTGAGAGGGCCATACTATGCCTCCTTTCTTAAACTGAATGTGCTATTAAAAGGCATGCCTTTATGACATAGAAAGTAGAGCTGAGTAAAGGAAAGGAATGGATAGAAAAACCAGAGTGAAATTTTGTGTTTGTATCATTTCAGTCTATTTTTTGCAGCAGCCCAGTGTAGTAGTGGATACTTGAATGTAGTAGATTTCAAATTAATTGTCTGTATTTGGACATGTTAATATTACATGACATTTTCAAAATTATTAATGTTGTCATCAGAGTTGATGCACTTAGGTGACATAGTGGATAGAGCAATGGATCTGGAGTCAGGTAGACCTGAATTCAAGTCCAGCTTCAGACATTTACTAGCTGTATGCCACTGGGCAAGTCATTTAACTTTTGTTTGCCTCAGTTTCCTTGTCTGTAAAATGGGGATAATAAATAATAGCACATATCTCCCAGGGTGGTTGTGAGGATCAAATGAGACAGTGGTTATAAAGTGCTTAGCTCACTACCTTGGCATATAAATATTAGCTATTATTATCACCATTTATAAGTGAGGTAATATTTGTAAAGGGTAATAAATGAAATAAAAAGATTTGTTGTGAGGATCAAATGAGATAATAATTGTAAAGCACTTCTCACAGTGCCTAGCACATTGTTTAGTCATTCATTTGTGTCCAACTCTTCATGACCCTGTGGACCAAAGCATGCCAGTGTTGTCTATAGGGTTTTCTTGGCAAAGATGCTGGGTGATTTGCCAATTCCTTCTGCTCAGTTTACAGACAAGGAAACAGGCAAACAGGGTTCCATGACTTGCCTAGGGTCACACAGCTAATAAGTGTCTAAGGTCGGATTTGAACTCAGGTCTTCCTGACTCCAGGCCCACCGCTCTGTCCAGTGCACCACCTAGCTGCCCAGATTGAGGCAAACAAAGGTTAAATGACGTTTCCAGGGTCAGCTAGTAAGTGTCTAAGGCCAGATTTGTCAGGTCTTCCTGACTTTGGCCCAGCGATTTATCCACTGAACCACCTAACTTCCTCTTAACACATAATAAGTACTACATAAATGTTAAATGCTATCATCATCTTCATCATCATCATTCTTTATAAATCTAGATTGTTTGGGCCCCAATAGCTTTTATATTTAGGAGCTATAATTTTTAGGGATAGAGGGAGTTTCCTCTTTGGGCAGTTAGTTCTCTATACCAGGGAAATCGTAGGTCTGGGCTCTTCTTAATCTTTCTCTGTAAGGGATACTTCTACTTATATTAATCTGTTGGCAGTTTGTCAGAATAAAGACAGAAATTAAGATTGAGAGCCTTGCATGAAACATTTAAGCAGCTTTTATCAGAGTACAGTCAGATGAGTTTGACTTCAGCCTGAACATAAACTTTATTTTTCACCTAAAGGTTGTTTTTTCCTCCTTCCTTCCTCCAATGAGATTTTTACTTAAACTCATTATTTCTTTATCTTGTTGAAGGTAGGTCATTTTAAAAGCCTGTTATTGGGGCAGCTTGGTGGCACTGTGGATAGAACACTTGCCTTGGAGTCAGGAGGACATGAGTTCAAATCCGGACTCAGATGCTTGACACTTATAGCTGTGTGACCCTGGGCAAGTCAATTAACCCTGATTGCCTCACCCCCCCAACCCCCCCAAAAAAGCCTAATATTATTATTGTAACCAGGAAAAGGTCAATCTATTTATTTTCTTCTTATTCATAAATAATTTAAGTAGAAGAGAGTTGCTGTCACTTGAGTTTTTATTTTTTTACTGCATGATTGCCAGGTTTAATGTAACTGTTATTCCCATTTCTGCCCTGCAAAAGTAAGAAAATGCCCCCATTGAAATTACACTGTAAAATATAAGCACAAAATTTCTTGACATAGTTAAAGAGAAAATGTTGGCACCGACTGCATTTAAAAAATAAGTTTTAAGGCATAATTAAAAAAATACAAGAACAATTAATTTCTTACCGTATTTTAGAAGAGACTGATAGTAGGATGCTAAGAGTCTTTGAATCTTCCAAATACAGGCAATTCCAACAAACAAATGCCAGACATATGTACCTCCTTTACATACAGATGAGCACAGATGCATTAACACTTCTTCCTGCTAGTCAGTCTCATTCTCATGGGCTGCTTTCATTTCCCACCCCATGAAAATTAGGACTTTCATTTTAAAATGGGTGCTTTTGACATGACTTATATGGGTTTTAGCTTTGGCTGCTTATCATCTTTTGTTCTGAGCTATCAGTAGTTGCTCTAATTCATGTCCATTTCTCCAAAGCCCTTGATACTTTACTACTTGCCAAATTAGAAAAAAATATTTCCTCTTGGTAGTTGTAGTCTCTTACTTTGTATTTTCTCAAATATCCTAAGGAGAGGGCCTCAACCTTTTCTTTTTTTTTTTTCCCAGTATACTGGGTACACATATAAAAGTATTATTTTGCCACTTTGTATTATGAATTGAATTAATGTTTGTTTATTCAAACCATACTTTTTTCAAAGACCAAAGTTACTGGTTCTTCTCTTCTGGAATATTAACAGCTAATCCTTAAGAGCTATGTATATAGTTGAGTAATAGTATAGAAAATCCAAACTTTTTTTCTTTTTATTTGGTATTTTATTTTTTTCCCCAGGCACATGTAAAAAACAATTTTTTAATGTTTGTTTTTAAAACTTTGGGTTCCAAATTCTCTCCCTTCCTCCTTCCCTACCCCCCTCATTGAGAAGGCAAGCAATTTGATATATGTTATACATTTATAGTCATGCAAAACACTTCCGTAATAGTTATGTTGTGAAAGACTAACTATATTTCCCTCCGTCCTATCCCACCCCCCCTTTTATTCTATTCTCTATTTTCTCCCTGTCTGTCCTCAAAAGTGTTTGCTTCTAATTACCCCCTCCCACAATCTGCCCTCCCTTTTATCACTCCTTCTTCCCTTAACCCCTTCCCCTCTACTTTCCTATAGGGTAAGACAGAGAAAATCCAAACTTTAGTCTATACCTGATGAAAGAATCATTTTCGTGAGAATTCCCCCATCCCCTCCAAAAAAAAAGTAGAAGTGAATTAGCGGGAAAGGATTATTCATTTTTCATCTTTCCCAATACCCAGTACCCAAATAGGTATTGTCAGTGGGAACACTAAAGAAAAGGTTCTGAAAAATCTGTTCTCAGATTGGTTCACTAGCTGGTCAGGAATGTAAAGATAGACTATACTTTTTTCTAGGTGAAGCTGACACCCAGGACAAGGAAAAAATCAAAATATGATGGTTGGGAAGTTGAGGGAAGAAAGCATTATAACATCTGGGAAGATTGGGAAAGGTTTCATGGATATCATGGTAGAACAGAGCCTTAAAGGGAGATAGGGATTCTAAAAGGTAGAAAAAAGAAAGGATTGATTTCCGGCATGGGGGCAGGAGAGTGAATGTTAAGCTCAAGAAACAGGTAGTTAAAGTTTTAAATTTTGAGGAATCTTTGATTTTTTTTTTTAATATCTTTCAGGTTCCATAGAAAAGAAGCAGCAGAGAAGATCAATTAGAACTCGTTCTGAATCTGAGAAATCCACTGAGGTTGTGCCAAAGAAGAAGATCAAAAAGGAGCAGGTTGGCTTCCTACATGTAGAGAGTTAAAACATTGTATTTGTAAATGTTGTGGTTTATATTAGTATCTTCCCCTTCTTTTTTCTTTCTGTCTTTTCTTTTCTTTTTTCTTTCTTTAAAAAAAACAAAAGACAAAAAACTTCTCCCCCATTGGGTTTCCTTTCTAGACTGTTGTTCATGTTACATACTGGCTAGTGCCAGTGCCCATTGCTAAGGCAGCCATTCCTGTGATCCTGCTTCAGGCACTTTCACAGAACCCGGTCAGGCTTCAGGAAACGGGAATCCTATGGTGCAAGACGCTTGAATGAACCTGACACATTTACTCTGAGATTTCTGTTATGAGCAAAATGATTTCATGTTTTCAGTGATTTTTGTTTGGTGGAACCTCCATTGCGTTCCTTCCATTTTTTTTTTCTTTTGATTTTTGGTTTAAGCTGCTGGTTTGTATTATGTTTTTATTTTTAAAACAAATCAAATTAATTTAACTATAAGAGTTAAATATATTTAAGAGTCAAATAATCATAGGTAATCTGATTTTTTTTTGTTGGCAAAACAGATTTTTTGGAATGTTCTTTTCCTTCAATGGAACAGCACTCACCTGTAATTGGGGTGTCAAATAAATAATACTTTATTATTTAAAAACAAAACAAAAAAATCATTCTGAGCTAAGGGAGGTGATTAATTTTATGAGGTATATATAATCTTATCAGGTTATATATGTTAAGAGTTTAATTACTTTTTCAAGGAAGTTTCTGGAAACTGTTGCTGCTTTTTCTTAGATGCCCAGTGAAAAAAAGGTTTTTCTTTTTCTAAATAAAAAGGGTATCCATTTTGATAATTGTCTTGGCAGAAGGCATTCTAAATGGAACTAATTCAGATGAGCTTTGTGTTTTTTAACCACTTGATGTTGAGTGTTGATTTTCTTGTTTTAAGCGATTCCTTTTGTATTTTTAAACTTCTTAACTTGAATGAAAGTGACAGTGTGGGTGCTTTATGCTATCATTGAGCATATGAAACAATTTTTCCCCGGAAAGTATGTAACTAAAACTTCGTGATGCACTAACCAATTACACACTTATCATACAGAACTTCATACCTAGGAAATTATATTCCAAAAAATCTTTCTAAGCTCTTGCAAATCTACAGTATTTATTACCAAAATAAAGTTGTAATCTTGCAACTGGTTCCCAAATTCAGTCTGTGACCAGTCAGTTTAAAATTATAAGCAGAATGAATACAAATAATGGGACAAACAAAATGTTAATGCCACTGTGTTATAGTTAGTAGTAGAACAATACCAGTGATTGTTTAGAAGATTTTATATTTGTATTACTAATTGTATCCTATAAAAGCGCTTCTGTTGTATGTTTTTTTACCTGTTGTAAAAAAATAAAATTTTTTTAAAAAGAATTTAGAACAATCCTTAAATATTTACAAAACGTGTTTCAACATGCATACTTAACACATCTTAAGGAAACATAAACTGCAATCCTTAGCCCAAAACAGGAACTCCCCAAACAGCTTCCCTTCTTTAATTCTGATGGTTCAATCACCAAATTATCACGTGTTTTACATATACATTGGCAGAATAACTTCTAATCTCGCTCTCCTAATGTAGGATCAAGAACACTGTTCATAAGACACTCAAGAAAGTGCTTTTGCAATATCACAAACTTATTTTCTTAAGTTTGTACTAGCAGCAAAAGTATTGAGCTTCCAGCTGTATGGAGCCCTGTAGCACTCTCTACAGAGAGGGTCCTGATTCCCAGCAACTTAGCTGTGAGTGCAGGCGCGGAAGGGTCTTAAAGTGGCGTGAGTTACATTAACCTGAGTATCATAGTAAGTAAAAATTTATCCTAACGTATTTGGGGCGGGAGGGGTTTATAGCAACATCGGGGCTGGTTGCAGAAACAACCCCTCTCTTGCCTCCTGGACACCGAGGAAAGTATTCTTGTTGTCTTCATACACCAAGGGAATGGTGGGAAAAGGACTTCGATAGAGAGCATGTGGCTGTGTGTTGTCACTTGGTATTCAGCATAGGCAGCTAGGATTTAAACCCCGCCCCCCCACCCTGGGACAGAGAGCTTGCCCTGAAGATGGGACTGACTTCCGATTTCAGATACACTAACCACTCATCATAACTTAGATTGGTGAAAGTGTTATTTTTCCTTTATGTTAATTAAAAAAGAAAAATGTCTTTATTAATTCCTTGTTTTCCTGTCTAAACAGGTTGAAACAGTTCAGCAAACTACAGTGAAGACAGGATTACAGAAAGGTGAGTTATATACCATAATGTTACTTTGAATTTCCCTGATTTAAACCAGTTTTGAAAGAATTACTTATTTGTACTCTTTGTACTTTTGTCTGTCTTTGTAATTCATTGTTGTTGTTCTTCAGTCAATTTGTGTGGAATTGCAGTATACCCTCCCTTCCCAGTGTGTGTGTGACTTTATCATATTGATCTAATCTGTACCTCCATGTGCAAAGTCTTGTTTATTATGATAAATTGGAGAACACTATGCAGATTTGATCCAATTTTCACCTTTTCTCCATGTTTCTGGGGTTTCATTGGTTTATAACTAGGGATGTGACGAATCCACTTTTTTGGTATTCGACTGAATACTGAATAGTAGCTATTAATGTTCGTCAAACATGGACTATGACAAATCAGATGAGACAACCAGATTGAAAAATCTTGCCACATTTTACTTTTACAGTGCTATAAAATCCTTTTTAAAAATTAAAATTATTCATAGATTATTTATGGCCACTATTAGATGACCATATGCAAATCTATTTGAGATATGCATTAAATTTTTATAACCTTAAATTTATATATTTTAAACTTACAATTTGATTTTAGTACAAATTTGTAGCATGATTAGTTTTTAGTACCTTTTTTGGTGAGATCATTCAAACTGCATTTAATACTTGTAGTTTACTCTGGGCAAATTGCATTTTAAAAAACACCAGCCTCTCTGCATTCTCTGGGAGAAGTCTGCAGCGATGGTCTCCGTGGAGATCCTCAGCAGAACTGAACAGCCTCTCGGAGGGAACACTGCTTGGCGGAGCTCCAAGAAAAGACATCACGATCGCTGCGAGATTAGGAGGCCTGATTGCGTTGTGTTTCCACCATTCCACAGGGTCGGCGGACCGGGGAGTGCAGGGCTCTGTCAGATACAGTGACAGCTCCGTCTCCGCAGCGGTTGAGGAAACTGTGGACTGAGATTCCTGTACAATTTCATCCCAGAAACTCCAGACTTGTAGTCTCCATGCAAGATTTCTTTGACAGCGGCTTGATAAACAGTTTTCTTTGTTTTCGATTTTGATTTCACCATCATCGTTACTGGCATTCTTCTGACTGGTTTCTTCGACAAGACTCTAAACGACTGCTTTAACATTCAAGTGATTTTTCACCAGAGCTGGATGGGTACAGCTTAAATCATGGGTCCAGCATACAAGCCAACGTTTAACTTTATACTGATCAATTTCGACATGGACTGTTGTTTTTGTTTTTGGGGTGTTTTTTTTTTAAATAAAGCATCATTAATGCACATCTTCAGGGTTTGTGCCAAACAGCCCAAACTGTATACATTACAATCATTAAAAGCTCTTTTTTTTTTTTTTAAATGTTAGTGCCGTTATCATGGAGAACAGCATGGCAGCTGTCATTGGCGGTTTGCCATTTTTCTAGCATTTTCAGAAACTCATCGGAAATGGCGGTACCTGTGTGTTTCCCTTCGAAAGCTTCTCAGTACAGCACTGTTGTTCCTCTGTTAAAAGTCCTTTTTAATCCAGTGATGTATTAGGCCAAGGAAACATTCTGTGGTGGTACTCTGGGTCCACACACCAGCAAAATGAAGGAAATAGATTGTGCAGTTTTTGTTTTTGTTTTTTGTTTTTTATCAGCGTTTATCCTGGCAGGCACCCTCATTTATAGATGTCAGGAAACACTGTTTGAGTGGAAACATTTGTAGAGTGGGATTCATAACAAGGTTCCAGTAATCTGAGCAGTCTCACATGGCCCACATCCTCCATCACAGAACATGGCTCTGTATCAAGTGCTACATCTCCCCGAGCCTGTTAACGGATCTTCATGGCCTCAGGAGACTCGTTTCTCCATGGTCTCTTCTGGACTGCACACTTCCTTCCATACTTTGCTGGGCTGATTTAGATGTGTATTTGTTGTATGGAAATGTTGGGGGCAAAACAAAACATAAATCTTGGGTTTAAGTATTAACCCTCTCCTTGGTTCCTTGATACTCATCGTGCCTGACCTGCACATGTTTCATCGTGGCTGTTTTTTGTAGCATTAGGCCATGAGAAGTGTTGCTTTGTAGGGGTACTTTTTTGTGTTTTTCTTTTTGTTTGTTTGGTTGGGTTTTTTGTTTTTGCATTCTTGTTTTGGCTGGATTTGTATTATACACAGTTTTTAAAAAAAAAAAAAAGTTCCACACTATTCTCAGCTTTTTTCATACTTATTCCTTCTTGCATAAATTCCACAGAGGCCTCTCTCTTCCAACTCTTCGTGATTTGGCCACATTTGAGCACTGACTCTGCATTCACAGCCCTCAGCAGCGTGCCGTCTAGATGGCACAACTCGCAGAGAGGTGCTGCCGCTCTTGTTAATGGTCAGCATAAATGCCATATCACCAAGGAAGGCTCAGATGAACAATTACCTGAACGTTCAAAATTTGTCTGGGGGGCAGTATTAAACTGAATACAAAAATTGGGGGAAAATGGCACTATCCGTGTACGAATCGAATACAAATCAAAGATTTGTCACATCCCTAATAAAAACAAGATGGAGATGTCTCTACAAACATATTTGTAAGCTGCACAATGTGTTGGGTTTTATGTCTTTCCCCCGCCAAATTGAATCGTTCTTTCGATTGCTCCAAATCTATCAGCCGTCCTGCAATTTTGATAGAATTGGTTTTCAGAATGGAACTTGGGCACTGTTGAATGAAACGAGCCTTAGTTCAGGAGCACTGAATTAAATGTCTTAATGGTGCAATTGTAATTAAATCATTTTATACCAGGCAGGTCAGAAGCTTGTGGAGTTCTGATTCATGACTTCAGCATTACAAAGAGAGCTGTGCTTTTTCACACTAAAGATGAGTTTGGGGAAAAAAAAATATTCTCCCACAGCAAAGAAAAATTTAAGCGATATTTTAGGATTAATTTCAGTGTGTTGTGTTAAGGTGCCAGCGAGATTTCAGATTCCTGTAAACCTCTAAAGAAAAGGAGTCGCGCCTCAACTGATGTAGAAATGACTAGTTCAGCGTACAGAGACACGTCTGACTCCGATTCTAGAGGACTTAATGATTTGCAAGTAAGTATATTTAAAATTTTGGGTGGCAGTCCTGCTCTGAACTATGCTTGACAGAAGAATGGCCATGTCAAGACTGCAAGTGGTGGATGTGATTATAATGGCCCAGACAACCCTCAAGATTTTGTAGGGATTCTTGAAAAGCTAGAAATGACTAAACTCCAGTTTTTATTGTGGGGCAATAGTAGGGGGGGAGGTGCACAATTTGTATCAATCTCTTAGCTGAAAAGAAAACGTTAAGTTAAAAAGCAGCTCTGGCTCTTTCAAGGGTCCATGTATCCAGAATTGCATGACCAGAGCCACAGGCTTAGCCAAAGGTTTTTATATGTTTTCAAGAGCACCTTTTATGCAAGGCTCACTAGATTTTTTTCAGAGCTCTTGCCTTGGGAGATGGACTTCTTATTTATAGGTATGCTATATTTTCCATATAGGTGAGCTTTGGAAAGCAATTAGATAGTCCTTCTGCTGCTGCTGATGCTGATGCCTCTGATGTGCAGTCAGTGGACTCAAGTCTGTCAAGAAGAGGAACTGGAACCAATAAGAAAGACACTGTGTGTCAGGTAGGGTGATGGGCCTGCAGTTGTTTCTTTAGTATACCATCACTGAGACTAGGCTCTAGATTTTAAATGATAATTGTTTGGAGAGATCGAATCACATTGAAGCTGATGAAACAGAGTTGTCCCTGGCACTTCCTTTCCCCGCTTTGATATGAAAAATGCTTTCTGAAAACATAAAATTGATGAATAAAAACGTGCTGTAATTGCCATACACCTAAATTTAAGCAGATTATATCAAACGCCAGGATGTCAGGATTAATTTTTGAAGCTGGATCTTCTTTGTTGGACCTCCTTTCCACTTTTACATTATGTTTGCGTATTTGCTTGGCAGCAGATAGATTTCAAGAAAAGGACATTTGGGGGGCAGCTAGGTGGTGCAGTGGATAAAGCTCTGGCCTTGGAGTCAGGAGAACCTGAGTTCAAATGTGGCCTGAGACACTTGACACTTACTAGCTGTGTGACCCTGGGCAAGTCACTTAATCCCCGATTGCCTCACCAAAAAAAAAAGGACATTTGGGAGCATTACCAGTAGTTAGTCTATTTCCACATTATCTTGACATAATCATTTTGTTTACAGTGCCCTTCAGAATGTAGAATGAAGATATATCCCTTTTAAGTCTCTATATTTTCACTTACTGATGTTTAAACAGGTCATCACCTACATCATTTTTCTCCAACCAGCCCAAATCATTTTTCCCGTTATATATTTCTGCCTTTTACAGCTGCTGTTTCTTGATGGATTAGGGGGTAGGGAGCTGAGATAGGAACAGGACATACAAAGGAGTCAGGTTTTGTTTAAGTTTTTAGGTTTTAAGAAGCAGCTTGGTGTGGTAGAAAGAAAACTTGTTTCAGAATCAGAGGCACAAGGTTTACAGCCTGCTTCTGTTTCCTCTGTCTGTGACAATGGGAAAAGTACTTTACCTCCCTGTAGCTCAGTTTTTCTACCTGTAAAACTACCATATTTGGACTAGATGTTTTCCAAGATTCTGTCTCACAATCTGTTGATTCTAAAAAATGACCCATTGGAAGTAAGAGTTCCCCCACAAATAGCAAAGATTTCCCATGAACCACTGGTTGAGAAATACTAATTTATAATGTTTCTATTTACTATATTCTAGATCTGTGAAAGCTATGGTGACTCTCTGGTTGTTTGTGAGGGGGAATGCTGTAAACACTTTCATCTAGATTGCCTGGGACTGTCATCTCTCCCTAATGGAAGGTTCCTCTGCACCGAATGTAAAACTGGTAAATTAACTTATTTTTTTGTGGAGAAAGGAAGGATAAGAAATCTTAGTATTTTTCCTGATGTCTACCAGTCTTATTGGTGGTATATTTACAACGTCCTTCCTGACAGGTCAAAGAAAAAATATCAACATAGTAAGTCCCAGTGACCTGTATTGCATTGTCAATTTCATGATTCCCATTATATTTTTCCTAATATGTAATGTCCTAAATTTGCTGGACAGAGGTTGTAACAAGTATCTAAGTTTCGTTACTCCTACTAGCATGTAATATGAAATATTAAATTAATGAAATATGAAGTAGAGTAATATGAAATAAATTTAGGCCCCGTGAATAGAATTGATGGATTAAGAGTTCACAGATAATGTGATGGTGGTGATAATTCTTGCTTAGTAGAACTATATAAAACTAAAGTGTTTTTTATTTGACTTGGTGTCATCCCTGACTTCTTGTATGTGAGTGTCTAAAGAAAAGGAAGAAATTCACCTTGTATACATTTCTGCATATTTGAAATTTGGAAAAAATTTACATCTGTGTAAATTCCTCACTTAGGTTCACCTTAACTACTTGGTTCTCCTAAATTTAGTATTTAGAGTAAGCTTATAGGGTTTTTGTTTATACACAGACATACATACATATATACACATAGAGATAGAGAGAGAAAGAAAGAATAACTACTATGTGTTTAGAACTGTGTGGAATACAGACAAGTTTGATTTACCTCAAGATCTTATAATACAGTAGAAGGATAAGTTATACACGACTTAATCTCATACTTTTTATGTATTACTTTTATTGATGTCTTTTGTTTTTAAATCACCTTTGTTCCCAAATATATCATGCCCCTTCCGTAACTAGCAAAGTATCCTTTGTTTAAAAAAAAAATTATGTTTAAAAAGAGAAAAAAGGCAGCTCAGTAAGACCAGCCACATTATCCTTTGTGTCTAGCAGTAAAAGCCACATTCTGTACTCATAATCTCCCACCTCTGTAAGGAGGAGAAGAGATACTCAACTCTTCTCTGGAACCAAGCTTGATGATTATAATTACAAAGAGTTCGCTTTGATTTTCTTGTTCTTTCTATTTACGCTGTGGCAGTTATGAAGTATATTGTTTTCCTGATTCTTAAACCTCATTTTAATAGAAGGTCCTAAGCTTTGCATATCCTCTTCTAATGTTAGATATATAATTTTTTTTTTTTAGGCCATTGGGGTTAAGTGACTTGCCCAGGGTTACACAGCTAGTGTCAAGTGTTTGCTTTGAGACCGGATTTGAACTCAGGTCCTCCTGACTTCAGGGCCGGTGCTCTATTTGCTGCGCC